TATTTCAAATTCCTTAATAATTTCATATACATCAATTTTCTAAAAAATTATAAAAAAATAAATCATTATAAAACATACGATATTATGATATGCAATCATCAATTACATATACAAACCTTATAAAAAACATATCATTTTCTTATTTCGATTTCTTATAGGGTTTTGACCACACATTTCTTAATATCCTTTGCCTTTTGGATACTATGCTTCTTTTTTAGATCTTCAGAATCTGGGTCATCAGGAGTTTTAGAATCATGACCTGTTAGAAAAACTAAATACATTTTTGGCTTTAAGCATGCTGATTCGCTTATTGGGTTTTCCTTTATCTCATCCTTCATTAGAAATAAGTCTCCTGAATAGTTAAGATCGAAAATATCTGGTCTTTCTGCTCAATCTTTATATATATTTTCAGTTTCTATTTACATGATGAGCGAGTCTGTATCCGTATAAAGTAAACAGGCCTTATCTCTATAGTAAGGTTTTATGTAACCATACCAAAAGTTGAACATCATAGCCTTGCTAATGTCGAGAATTACCTATTCTACATAGATTGGTTTGTTTAGAGTTACTGTATTTTTTAACATATAGACTGCTGTAATTCCTCTTTCAAATACTTTAAAGCCTACATACAATGATAAACTTGCTAGACGCCTAATTTTTTTATTCTCTTCTGTTCAAAGCAATTCTACTCTCATATGTTTATAGACATTTTCTATCTGTTTACCAAATACCGCATTATTCTTTAGCTTAAAATATATGACTCCAAATTAATCCTCATTTGCCTTGGCTATTTTGCATTTACGAATATTTTTCTCAATATATTTCTTCATCCATGAAGATTGTCAGAATTTTAGAGCATCATGAACTTTTGTAACTTTCAATCTAAATTTCATGTACATCTGGAGAGCTCGATAGTGAACTACATAATTCTTTTTAGTATAAAGAGTCTGAAGTAACTTCTCTCCAGACACATATTTTCCATCTCCAACTGCCTTGTCACGTACTAATCTTTCATTATATAAGCTAAGCCAGTTTTCTGGCATAATTTGCTTTTCTGGTGCTAAAGAATAATCTGCAAAGAAGTCGTGTAAGTGTATTGGAATTTCTAGATCAACTTCATGCAAATAGCCTATTTCTGCATCAGACGCAATGCTTTGAATATCAGGAACTTCCTCTAGACCTACCTTACCCAAGATTTCCATAGGCATGTATTGGGTCATTACACCTGAATATAAAGCATTCATATCCTTATATAGGATCAAGACTTTGGCTTATTAGGATCATAGTTAGGACAATTTTGGATTATTTACTTTGGCATATCAATGACTCACCATTATCATGCCTTTACAAATACTGTTTTCTACTGTTAGATATTCATCCATATTTGTCATGAGCTTGAGTTCTGCCCTACTACTTTTGTAAAGAGAATCATTAAACATTTCAGATACTGAAACATAATAAGAAGGATCTAAGCTGTTGTCTTCCAAGCACATGATAGTGTAGTTCATGAAAACATCTGCAAGTAAAAGTACATCAGTCTCAAGATAAAGGTCATGATATTCTCCAAAGTTCTTTATCTTGAATACTTGCATACCTTTTGAACATGTTCATAATTCTCTTTACTAATATTTTGCTAACTAAGAAGTGAATAGAAGTCCTTTCTAGAAGGAAGGCTTGTT